TTTTAAAAATTTGTTAAATTGTAATATATGATTTTCATTAGATTAAAATTTTAAAAGATTATTTTGATAAAAAAAAATAACTTGTGAATTTCAAAAAGTTATATAAAATCGTAATGATTTATAAAGAAAAAAATAAATAAAATATTTTAAAGTAAAAATTATTTAATTTTTAAAATATTTATTTTATGATCAATGAAAAATTGTTAATGGATAGATGAACAAACTTTTTATTTCAAATGTATTGATAGATTAAATTTTTATGTGAATTTTAAATAAATTTAACTAAATTAATAAATTATTTTCATTCCACTTATTATCATCCGTTTAAAAATTTATGTGATCTATTTATTTGTCATTATGCAAAACTCATGTAATCACATGTGACTTTAATATTTATTTGTAATATTGTAGTTATCTTTCAACAAAAAGTAATTATAAAGATATTCCGGTTGCATGTAAGTTTGTTTGTAAAAACAAAATTGAATGTAGTTATCCGAGAAAAGTAAAAATAAAAATAAAAATCACTGAATTTTTTATTTATTAAAATTATAATAATTGTACTAAAATTCAAATTTAAAAATATATATTCTACTTCAACCTACGCTACTTCACTGATTTAATACAAGTTTATAAAAGTTTACTGAATTTATTTATTAAAAATAAAAAGATTATAATAGTTAAAATCTAAAAAATTATTCCAACAATCGAAATACTGTATGATTTATTACATGGAGTTAGGCAATGGCACTGCAGGCTAAAATATTGTTTGAATATTGGGTGGCAACGTGCGTAAGAGGGTTAGAATGAGTGGTTATTATTCGTTGACGGGTCCAGCAATGTCAAATGAATTATTTTAGTGTATTATTGAGTTTCATTTTCAACAAAAAGAAATGGCTAAAAACCTATTTTGGTCCCTTATAATCTTTTTTTGTTTCAATTTAGTCCCAAATTAATTAATTAGTGTCAATGTGGGACTTCCGTCCAAATTATTTAAACGGAGTTAACTTTTGGCCACGTGGATGCATACGTTGCATCCGATGAGAATTTTTTTTGAAAACACCTGGACCGGAACGGCCCGTTCTGAAACCAGAACGGGACGTTCTGTTTGCAAAATTAAAACACCACCAGTGAAGCAGAACAGGTCGTTCTGAAAACAGAACGGCCCGTTCTGCTTTCAGAACGGCCCGTTCTGCTTTCAGAACGGCCCGTTCTTCTTTCAGAACGGTCCGTTCTTCTTTAGGTTCCAAAACTGTGAATAAAATATTCTTTAATTAATTGTATTTTTGATATTATAATTATGCAATTTTGATCTCTAAGGTTTTAATTGAGTAATTTCAGTCCTTAAAAGATTATAGTGTAATTTTAGTCTCACAATTTTTAATTGAACAATTTTAATCTCTCAAATATCATAATTGTGCAATTTTAGTCTTTCTCATTAAAAATTTAATAATTTTAAAATTTTAATATATATATATATATAACACACCCAAAGATTCTCAAATGAGAAATATTGGGTTGCTCACCAAAAACCAACTCTAAAGGAGAGAATTTATGATAACTTGTTGGTCTGATGCAAATTAATATTGCGGCATGTAAGATTGCATGCCTCCAAGTTGACATTGGAAGTTTTGATCTCATGAGTAATGGTCTTGCAATTAGTTTTAAACGTTTGATAAATGATTCTGCAAGTCCATTTTGTGTATGAACATGTGCTACCAGATGTTCAATATCAATTCCAATGGATATACAATACTCATTAAAAGCATGAGATGTGAATTCACCAGTATTATCCAAACGAATTTCCTTTATTGGATAATCAGGAAAATGAGCTCTTAATCTAATTAGTTGAGCTAATAATCTCGCAAACGTCTGGTTGCGAGTTGATAATAAACAAACATGTGACCATCTTGTTGATGCATCAATTAAAACCATAAAATATCTAAATGGTCCACATGGGAGGTGTATTGGTCCACAAATATCACCTTGTATTCGCTCTAAAAATAAGATAGATTCATGCCCAATTTTTGCTGGTGATGGTCTAATTATTAACTTTCCTTGGGAACAAGCAGTACATGAAAAAATATTTGATTGAAGAATCTCCTGGCTCTTCAGTAAATGTCCACATGAATTTTCAATTATTTTTCGCATCATGATAGTTCCAGGGTGACCGAATCGATCATGCCAAACCTCAAATTTATTTTGATTTGTAAACTTCTGGTTTACAATAGTATGTGTTTCAACTGTATTAACATACGTGCAATACAGTTCATAAGAGAAAGCAGGTAATTTTTCCAATACCTCCTTTTTATTCAAGTGGATTTTCGTGATATAAAGATATTCTACATTCCCTTCATTGTTTGTTTCAATATGAAACCCATCTAAACGAATATCCTTGAAACTTAATAAGTTTCTATAAGACTTAGAAGAATATAATGCATTTTTAATATGCAACTTTGTTCCTCCCGGTAACAATATGTTAGCTCTTTCGGAGCCTTCAATTATATTTGTAGTACCAGATATGGTACTAACATTGATTTCTTGCATCACTAAATTTGAGAAGAATTTATTATTCTTGAGAATCGTGTGAGTCGTTGCACTATCAGCAAGACACATATCTTTATTATTGATGCTATTGTCAATATTCGTTCTTCATAAAATTAAAAAAAATGTAAATAAGTAATATGATAAAAGAAAACAAGACAATAATTTTTGAAAAAAAAATCTAACAATAATTTGTATATTAAAAAAAATTCATAATCCAATAACATTAAAACATAAGAAATACCCAAAATCCAATAAATAAAATATGAAAAAAAAAATATTTCTGAACACTCCCATCACCAATAAGGTGATCAATTTTTCCATTTGGATCAGCAAAGAAATCAGCAACATCTAAGTGAGTAACATCCATACAACCATAATCTGAATCACCATCTTCATAAGCAAAATGTGTCTCTATCTTTTTCTTCTTATTAATTGATTCTTGGTAAAGTTCAACAAGATGCTTTGGTGTACGACAATTACGTGACCAATGACCCTTGGCACCACAATGATAACATTTGTTTTTCTTGTGTTTGTTACCATGTCCATCCATTTCCTTCTTATTTTTCCCATTATTTTTCCACTTCTGGTGTGAAAAATTGTTTTTTATCTCATAACCATGACCACTACCGCCTTTACTACCACGACCATGACCACGGCCACGACCATGATTATTTCCACGGCCGTGACCATAGCCACAACCACTAGTTTCTTTATCATGTGTTGCAACATTCACTTCTGGGAATGGAGCAAAACCAGTATGAAACTCTAATATGGTATCAGAAGACTTTTTTCACTTCCGCATAATCTGACTATTTTTTTCCTGCGATCACCATGGTTGTTGCCTACACGATTCAAATTGATCAACATGATCCTCTTTTGATTCACCATTTTGATCATCCAAGTCAAAGCCTTGTGTCCACACCTTTGAACGGCGACAACTTCGGATCTTGGAGACGTGCTATTGTTATCGCACTTGAATCCGAGAACAAGATGGGTTTTGTTGATGGTTTAATCCCAAAGCCAACTGATTCAACTAAACTTTCTTTGTGGAAAAGAAATGACAGTATCGTCAGATCTTGGCTCCTCAATTCAGTCAACAAAGATATTGTGACAAGTGTAATTTACTCCTCTACAGCTACAATCTTGTGGGAAGATTTAAACTCCAGATATAGGCAACAAAATGGGCCTCGGGTTTTCCAGTTGAAGAAAGAAATCTTTTCTTGCAATCAAGGTTTAATGTCTGTCAGTCATTATTTTGCCAAGATCAAGAGTCTTTGGGAAGAATTGAGTGATTTTCAACCCCCTCACTCTTGCACATGTGCGGGAGTGAAGCCTTTGCTTGAGTACCTTCATTTTGAGTGTGTGATGTCTTTTTTAATGGGTCTTAATGAAAACTATTCTCATATTAGTGGCCAGATATTACTAAGGGATCCTATTCCTTCAATCAGTCGAGTTTTCTCTCTTATGGTTCAAGAATAAAAAAGACAGGAAGTTGGCATCCCTACATAGCAACCATCACAAATTGCTTTTGCTTTCCCTCAACCCAACTGTAAACCTTCCCAATCTGGACCAAATAAAAAGGAACGACCTAAATGCAACTACTGTAGAATGCTTGGCCATACAAAAAATAAATGCTATAAAAATCATGGATACCCTGCAGGTTACAAGAAACCTAATCACAATGTAAATCAAGTCACTGATTCACATGATTCCAACACAGGAAACAGTCCAATGCAGTTGACAAAGACTCAATATGATCAGCTATTAAATCTCCTTCAAAGTCAGGTAGCACCTATTGGAAAATCATCGCAGTATAACTCTTCAAGTTCTTCACAAAATGGTAA